TATAAAGGGACCTTCCTTTAGCAGAGCAAAAAAATATATATTATTAACCATTTTGTAAACTATAAAATTGCTTGACTGTTTGGGATAATCAAAAAAGGAATTCAAAGGTACAATTCTATTTAATGGGAGTGACAGGAATTAACAGAATGTTCCATAAAATCTTGATTTGCATTTGGGTTTTTGAAATTTAGAACCGCCCTTCTTAAGAAATTCCCCTTCAATTACAATTTCGATCTTCACAAGTTAGAAATAAATATAATATAACAAAAAAATCAGGAAATTTATATTTTCATTTCTCAGCTGGAATTTGAATATGGAATGATGCGAGGGCGCAACATACTTGGAGAAGAAGTGAAGTTCATGGACACATTATTTCGGGCAATGGAGAAGTTTATGGAAAAGAAACCGCAGGCAAGTAAAAAAAAAGTGGGGGAGGTATAAACTAAATATCATGCATAAGGCAAGTATAGAATAAATGTTTCATATAAATAATTGTATTTTATAATGGTCTTTATATTAGTCCCAGACTGCTGAAATAAGGGGATGGGCTAAGGTTTCCTCTGTCCGACCGTCTTTCTGTCTTTCCCACTAAAGTTTTACCAAGTGTTTTTTTGTGAGGGCATGAGATGTATTTATCTGCCTTTGCGAGTATTAGATTTATGGATGCCTAGAGGACTTGCATTAGACCGTCTGATACAGATAAGTCTGCTCGTTTATGATAAAAATAAACTTTTAACGAGGATGACATGTTTAGCCAAAGGCTAATCTACCACATGGTCCTCAGCGTTTGTGATAGTTTTCAATGTATTTGCTGTGTATTTCCTCTTCATGTGTCGGATGCAAATTAAAATTGTAATATTATCAGTAGGGTCAGGGGAAAAAAATGAAAAACTATTTGGAGTATTGAAATTGAGCAAGTACATTTTATATATAATTCATACTGTTGGGATGGATTTTTACTTTGAGTTAAACAGGGTTTTTGAGTAACCAGCGTTAAAGAAAACGAGGTTTGACTGTTTTAACAATTCTGTTAATTAAAGTTCATGTTTCCTTTTACAGAGATCTGATGCTAGTAAAAGGATACATGTGCTTCACTACATTGAGAAAGCCACTGCCTTTGAAAAGGGAAAAGGAAAAAAGACAGAGACTGTCTTAAGCATTAAAAAAGTGTGAACATGTTTGCTAAAATGCCTGCATTAGACTGCAGCAAATGGAAGATAGCAAAAGGAAAATGCTTGAAACCCATACATTAGTTGCTGTTGTGTGTAATATCTGTTCAATTATGTAAAATATACTTGATAGAAAATAAGCATATTTTGGGTCTGCAAACTAGTGAATTTTATTGTTTTTATTTATGTTGATATTTTTATTTTAGGACGTTGCAGAGGATATGATACTGAGAAAATGCGACACAAAGGAGTTGTCTGCCCCCAGTCTAATCTGTTTTCTTCATGGGGACGATATCTTAGAATTGGCAATAGTTGGAGACAGACAAACCATATTCTGTCACACCAATGATTTAAAGACGGGCTGGTTGTATTTGGTACACACATACTACATCAGTGATGTTCATCATCCAAGGCAGTTGTCACAACTTCTTGGACTATTACAACAGTTCAGCTGCTGTGTATCTGTGAAATTCAGAAAGCTTTGTGTCATGCTAGAGAAAGAACTGGAGAAGTAATCCAGTGAAAATGTTACATTTGAGGGGTGATTTTCATATATGTAGAGGTACATACCCTGGTAGGAAAAGAAAATTCCAAACCAATTTTAATACTGTATATCCTTCAGATAGCTCATAGACTATCTTGCAAATTTTAGAGATTTTATAACTCTGCGGACTTACTGGCAGTGTGGATTATCAGATCGTAATATGTTTTGCAAAAAATGCCTTAATCTATGTTTTGACTAAAAATGTAAAGTGTGCTTATTAAGCGTGGGTAAGTGTCGTTGGAAGTAAAACATTATGCAGTGTGAGGACAATGTAAAATCCAACATTCTGATAATCATTGCATGACGCATATTATCGCTTTTTCGCATTGGAATCCTGCCCATCGCAATTGAAAGAGGAAGGTATGCCAAAATGTTTTGCCAGTTGCAAGATAGTTTCTGTAAATATTTTGTAATAAAGCTTGATTTCAGCAGTGGAGGAAGAGACTCACTTTTTAATTAAGGATTGAATCTTGCTTTGGTCGATTTCATGGGGTGATTTAAATTCTTTTTTTTCAGTAATTGGAACTTGTCAAGTCCATTCTGATCATTTGTCCCATGTTCTGGAGCTTGTGCAAGTCTACGTATCGACGTAATTTAAAAAATATAGTCCGTCATTGAAGAACCATCATACAGCATGATGGTGTACGTTGATAGTTCAATACAGGCAAGCCATGTCGAAACAAAACACGAAACCATATTTTAAATGTCATATTTAATTTGTATTGATAGATTCAGAAGATATCAAACTTTCTGATGCGTCATCGCGGAAGAATAATGTCTAGATGCGATGCACAGGCTCAGCTGCGAGTCGACAGCAGTCATATTTTCACAAGCTCGAAGTGGAGAGCCGCTAAATTTCGAGATTCTGTATCTTCTGGAATGTGAAGCTGCAGTAATTGAATCTCGAATTAGACAGAAAATCAGACGTGGCTTGAACGGGCTAATTATTTTACATGACATTTGGCTGTTCGACTGTATTTCATATATGACGGGACCACATGGATCTACCACAGGGGTTCGTTACAGATGTTTGAAATGAACATGCTATACTGATATGGGTCACAGCACATATGACATACATGTATATGATTGGTTTACGCATGCTGTGACCCATATAAGTTATAGCATGATATGTGTATTTTGGACATTGTACCGAACCACTGTGGATCTACCGATTCTACGTACGTTACTTGCACAAGACAGAATTGGTAGCTGGAGGGAGAATTTCTAGGGCAGAACATGACTTGTCATTAACGCTTACAACCGTGAGCTGATGATATTTTGCTGATTTATCATTTTTGGTTGTTTGTCACAATTTCTTATGTTGCTTCAATACAAATTTGAAATCTCTGTTTAAGCATGTTAATAGTTTTCTCCCTTCGCAAAATCATGCGCACAGGCAATGTTAATCTGGTCAAATTCATGGGCAAATGAAACAGGTTACATTTGGTAGATTCATCGAGTGCAACTTGAGTAGGAATTGAAATATTTGATTATGATTTTTTCTCTGACATTAGATATGAAATTTTTAACAAGATGAAAAACTAGTGATGTACATTTTTGTAGTACATATAATGATAAACTCACTTTTATCAGGAATAATGCAGATACTTGTCTTTTATCTTCAGTTCTTTTTAACATGCATCAGAGAAAGAAACTGTGTTCAATAGCTCCAGTTTATAATTAAAATGATAAAATATCTGTAAATGGAATATTTTACCAGATATTGGATTTACTTATACTTTTCCACTGTTTATACAATTTGATGAAGTATCTTTAAATTAAATATTTCACTTGATAATGAATGAATGGACGAACCTGACCCAAATTGATACATTAAAAAATCGTAAATCAAAGCTATACGAAAGTCAATATTAAGCGTTTATGTATATTGCTAAGACCCTCAAAATTATAGATATTTGCTGAAGACCTAAAATATCTGGATTGGTCGGAGTTATCCCGGGGGCCAACCTGCCCCGGCTCCTTGTCCCTAACCCCTTGAACCCTCCCGCACTGGATCAGGCCTGGTTCGTTGTTTTTCAAAGCACCTTAGAAACACTTACAAATCAAATATACGTGATATTAAATCATACAACTAGATGTCATCTGCATAGGGATAATTTACCAAAATCGATCTGCCGTACGCGTCTGTATTGGAATATTTTGGACATTTATCCATGTTTTCCTTCATCTGTCTTTACTTAGATGTTGCTATAATACAAAGCTCTAAACAAATAAAGTGCATAGTATTTTTTGGTATCTGTTATTACGCCATTCCATTTTTCAATGGACATTCCTTTTTCAATGGACATTCCTTTTTGATTAAAATCAGTCTGTTTAAAAGTGAAAATTACGTTTCATGCTAGGCAGTCGTAATAACTTCAATGAAGACAGTCTGCGGAGGATTATAAGACCCACAATAAGATCATATTGTGTTAAATCAAGTAACGGAAAACTATTCTGAGATGAAAATGCAGATAAAACATCGTGGTGTTTGAATATTCAGATTTTTTTTTTTTATTTGATAATTGTGATAAAATTATTTTAAAAGAACTTTTTAAAAGTAGCATAAATGCATGAAATACGTTCATTAACGTCACATCAAAGATATCCCGTATGAGAACCTGCCTTAATGAAATACGTTCATTAACGTCACATGAAAGATATCCCGTATGAGAACCTGCCTTAATGAAATACGTTCATTAACGTCACATCAAAGATATCCCGTACGAGAACCTGCCTTCAATGTAGTTATAAAGCAAAAATGTGCACTGAACTGTAGGGATAAGAATAAAAAAGTTACAGTTTGTGTTTATAAATGATCGATAATGCTGCTGTATCGAGAGCAAAGACAATTATAACAATTAGGTTCACGCGCAGAATCATGTTACAAAATATGAGTTAGTCGCTCAGTGTAAGACAGAGAATAGTCCACAAGATTAATTAAACAAATATTGAATAAACATGTCGGATTTTTACAACAGGCGATCACTCTACATGAGTGGCTTCCCTCATAACACCAGCAATCCAACACTCGTTGTTATAGGTTCTGGGGCAATATCTCATACAGGTAAACAGATTTTACTCAGCGAGGCGGCAGACACAAATATATCTGTAATACTATAATAAATCCGATCGAGAGTCTTGTTTGATTACACTGAACTATTATCTCAGATACACTTCACGTATAAATCCCCTATTACGTAAACAGTGATACATACAGATGTTGCTAGATAGCAGATCCGTTACAGGTCGCAGACAGTTTACCGACACTAGATTCACAGGAATGAAGTCACATGACCGCCGCCATTTGAAGACCAGTCGTGACTTCACTTGGTTGGAACTTGATATGAATACTATTTAGGTGAGCATTCGTTTTTATCTATGAATAATAATATCAGTATCATTCAGCAAAACTGTAACTATTCATCCTAATTTATACATTAACATTACTGTAAAACATCCTTATTTATACATTTACACTGCTGTATAACATCCTAATTTATACATTTACGCTACTGAATAACATCCTAATTTATACATTTACACTTCTGTATAACATCCTAATTTATACATTTACACTTCTGTATAACATCCTAATTTATACATTTACACTACTGTATAACATCTTAATTTATACATTTACACTACTGTATAACATCCTAATTTATACATTTACACTACTGTATAACATTCTAATTTATACATTTACACTAATGTAAAACATCCTAATTTATACATTTGCACTACTGTAAAACATCCTAATTTATACATTTACACTTCTGTATAACATCCTAATTTATACATTTACACTACTGTAAAACATCATAATTTATACATTTACACTACTGTATAACATTCTAATTTATACATTTACACTACTGTATAACATCCTCATTTATACATTTACACTGCTGTATAACATCCTAATTTATACATTTACACTACTGTATAACATCCTAATTTATACATTTACACTAATGTATAAATCCTAATTTATACATTAACACTACTGTAAAACATCCTTATTTATACATTTACACTGCTGTATAACATCCTAATTTATACATTTACGCTACTGAATAACATCCTAATTTATACATTTACACTTCTGTATAACATCCTAATTTATACATTTACACTAATGTATAACATTCTAATTTATACATTTACACTAAGGTAAAACATCCTAATTTATACATTTACACTACTGTATACACCACACTGCTGTATAACATCCTAATTTATACATTTACACTACTGTATAACATTCTAATTTATACATTTACACTAATGTAAAACATCCTAATTTATACATTTACACTACTGTAAAACATCCTAATTTATACATTTACACTTCTGTATAACATCCTTATTTATACATTTACACTGCTGTATAACATCCTAATTTATACATTAACAATACTGTATAACATCCTAATTTATACATTTACACTACTGTATAACATCATAATTTATACATTTACACTACTATATAACATCCTAATTTATACATTTACACTACTGTATACACCACACTTCTGTATGACATCCTAATTTATACATTAACACTACTGTATAACATCCTAATTTATACATTTACACTACTGTATACACCACCCTTCTGTATAACATCCTAATTTATACATTTACACTATTGTAAAACATCCTAATTTATACATTTACACTACTGTATAACATCCTAATTTATACATTTACACTACTGTATACACCACACTGCTGTATAACATCCTAATTTATACATTTACACTACTGTATACACCACACTTCTGTATGACATCCTAATTTATACATTAACACTACTGTATAACATCCTAATTTATACATTTACACAACTGTATAACATCCTAATTTATACATTTACGATACTGAATAACATCCTAATTTATACATTTACACTACTGTATAACATCCTAATTTATACATTTACGCTGCTGCTGTTTAACATCCTAATTTATACATTTACACTACTGTATAACATCCTAATTTATACATTAACACTACCGTATTACATCCTAATTTATACATTTATACTATTGTATAACATCCTAATTCATACATTTACACTACTGTATAACATCCTAATTTATACATTTACACTACTGTATACACCACACTGCTGTATAACATCCTAATTTATACATTTACACTACTGTATACACCAC